GCCTGCGTGTGTGCACTTAGGGGGCAAGGTCGGGGGGGGCTGGCTCTCCTGCTGACAGGCTCTGAGGGAGCAGGGTGGTGGACACACAGCCCAGTCCACAGAGCTCTGAGGCCCAGGAATAAGGCCTTCCTCAGACAAAAGCCTCACCTGCTCACCTCCTGCACGGGCCCCCACTTCCCAGCAAAGCTGTCTCATCCGGAGGACAAAAGCCCAGGCTGCAAGGCTGACGTCTCATCCTCGTCCTGGCAACTCCCTGGAGAACCCCCTTGTTTCCAGGTGGGTACTGCTCACCCGGTAAATCACACTTGCTGGGTTCCTATTGATCATCACTGCTTACATTAGGAGGAGGGCTTCTCAGGGCCTGCCTCTCCTTCCCTGCCTCCCTGTTAGCAGCAGATACTGGCTGAACCTGATGTGCTGTGGGATGCAAGGCTCCAGGCCCTTTTACGGGGCTGGGAGGAGCAGGAGGGGGACCCGCAAGTTGGACTGGCGTGAGATGACACTCAGCCCGGGGCCTCTAGAGAGCCAGGAGCTGAGAGCAGTTACCCTCAGGGGTCCTAGCCCTCTGCCTCTGTCTTCCTGCCAGGGCTTGGGCAGCTTCTAACAGAGCAGCCTCATTCTCCAGCCTGTGGCTCTGCTCACCTCCACCTCCGGGAGCCCACGATCCTCCATGGGTGCCAGAGAAGCAGGTCTGGCTCATCCTCCAGCTGGAAAGAGGTGTCTGTCCACCCTGGTTGGGACCTTTATAGACGTACAGGGTGGTTCTCCCTCTGGCACTGTCTCCTCACCTCTCCCCCTTGTCCTCTGGTGCGTCACATCTCACACACACACACACACACACTCACACACACACACACACACACACACACACACACACACACACACACATGCCCTCCTCCCCAGAGGTTCTGGAGGAGGGACCAGGCAGAGGCACATTATTAAAGAGAAAGGGGTGGGGACTGCGGAGCTGGCGTCATCCATTCCCCTGCTTTAACCCTTCCTCCCATGGGAGACCGGCAGTCTGCCTCAGCAGCAAAGTTGCCATCTGGTGTAGTGACCTGTGTTCTCTCTGTGCTAGAGACAGAGAGAAGGGGGAGAGGCATGACAGGCTGGCTGCAAGTGGGCTCTGTGTGTGTGTGTGTGTGTGTATGTGTGTGTTTGTGTGTGTGTTTAACAATACATGTAAGAGAGCCCAGGAAAGGGGAGAAACAGGCCTAGCCTTGGGTGAATCAGAGGTCCGGCCTGTCCTCAGCAGGTGTGCCCCTGGGAGGTCTGGGGAGCCCAAGGAGCTTGCACTGCTTTCCTAGTTGAGGATACAGCCCTTGAGCACCCATCCCTAGCCTGTCACCAGGAGATGGCTGCCTGCTCAGCGCCCACGAGCCCTCAGTCCTTCCTGGACATCACTAGGCAAGAAGTAGAATGACACCTCTATTCACGCCTTGACACACCGGCTGCCACCCCAGCAGAGACCGTCACCAGGGATCCAGTGCATCCTTTAGTCCTTGGAAGTCCTGGCCCAAAGGGCTATTTTCTTCCTTGGGTTACGTCCCTCCCCTGTGGTCCCAGCCTCAGGAGTTATGTTCTGAGAGGTTCCTTGGTGCAGAGTCTCCCAAATCTTAGGTGAAGGCCTCTTGTAATACTTTAGGGCAGGGGTGAGCAAACATGACTCGTGGGCCAAATCCAGCCCTCCACCTGTTTTTGTATGGCATGTGATCTAAGAACGGTTTGTACATTTTTAAATCGTTGGGAAAAAATCGAAAGAAAAATATTTTGTGATATGTGAAAATTATGTGGAATTCACATTTCATCATCTATAAATAAGGTTATATTGGAACACAGCCATGCTCATTCACTCATTCGTTTATGTGTTGTCTGTGGCTGCCTTCCCACTACAATGGTGGAGTGGAATAGTTGCAACAGAGAGCGTATGGCCCGAAAAGTGTGAAATATTTCCTACCTGGCCCTTTATAGAAAAAGTTTGTGTCCGCCCCCGCCGCCGCCCCCTGCCCACTTACGCTACTTTAAAGGGAAATAGAGGTATACCACCTTTTCCTTGACAGCCTGCTTCTCGCTTACCTTGACGTGTTAAGTTTGCATAGCAATATCTTATGACAATGGAAGGAAACTAACGTTTGCTGGGCACCTACTGTATACCTGACACATTTTCTCTGTTTCTCACATAATCTTTACAGCAATCTTGAGAGGAACAAGCACTAACGGCTGCTCACATTATGAAAGCATGGAGGCTCAGAGGAATTCAGAAACTCGCCCAAGCTCTTATGGCTAATCGGAAGGGGATTCTGGATTCAAACCCAGTTCTGTCTGAAAATATCTTCTTCCAAAGCCAATATCTTCTCCAGGCCACCATGATGCTAAGATGACTTCCAGCAGCCCCGTGAGGACCCGCCCAAATGGCTGCTGATTTGGGCATCCCCACAAACAGTAGACTTGAGACTCAGGCTCCAGCAACCCAAACCCCACCTCAGGCTCCCTTAGCCTCGGGGCCTGGTCTATGGGTGTGGGCATTGTGGGCCGCAGGCAGCAGGTCAACAACACAACGTCAGCACCACCTGCCTCCTCCTGCTGCCTCATCTCTTGCTATCTACTTTCATCACGTATTAGCTTTCCTTCAGGAAGATTCAATTTGCATTTAAATAGAAAACCTCCGGAATGGTTCAGATATAACGTTAAGGTGCTAATTACAAATTCATTCCTCTTTAAATATTAAAGCATTTCAGTTCATCTCAGGGGTGATGGAAGGCAGCAGGAATGCACGGTATTTATAAGTAATGAACATTGAGCTGTTTATTGCGAAGCCCTTACAACTCCCCACCAGCAGAGGGCAGAGAGGAGGTGTTCTCAAGACCCACGGAGGGGTGTGTGTCTTAGGAACCTAAAATCAATGAAAAAGAAACATCAGCGGGCTTCCCTTGTGGCGCAGTGGTTGAGCATCTGCCTGCCTATGCAGGAAAGACACGGGTTCTGAGCCCTAGTCCGCAAAGATCTCACATACTGCAGAACAACTAAGCCTGTGTGCCACAACTACCGAGCCTGTGTAACATAACTACTGAAGCTGCGTGCCCTGGAGCCCATGCTCTGCAACAAGAAAAGCCACTGCAATGCGAAGCCTGCGCACCACAATGAAGAGTAGGCTCTGCTCACCGCAAATAGAGAAAGCCCCCCCCCCTCCGCAGCAACAAAGACCCAACGCAGCCAAAAATAAATTAATTTTTTTTAAAAAAGAACACTGATTTAAAAATAAATAAAATAAATGTCCAATAGCAATAATCCTTGAAAGAAACTAGAAGATGGCCAGCAGGATGGAAGCTGCTAGTATGGGGCAGAGGGACGTCCTCAGGTTGCCAGTTCCCTGAATTGCTTATAAGGGTCTCAGGGCAGGGTCTATGCCTCTCTTATATACCACTCTCTCCCATCACCGAGCCTAAAGCCTGACATGCAGTGGCAACTCCAGGAATACTTGTTGATTTAATGAATGAATAAGTTAACCAATCAGTCAGTTATGGGAGAGATCATTTATTCAACTACTGTTATGAGTCAGGTGTTATGCTAGATGATTTTCATGTCTCCTTGTTAAATGATTTATTCCTCTGCATTTCCCCCAGAGCTGTGCAGATGATATACTATTTGTTCTTTATCTTGAAGAATAGTACTTTGCATTTTACATATTGATTTATACTTTCACATTCATATGACATGGTTAATAATTATAACAAAATTGAGAGGTGTACCAAGTTTTATTATTCCCATTTCACAGGTGAGAAAACAAACCCAGAGGGGGAGAAGACATGAGCCTCAGAGCACCCAGCTCAACTGGGAGCTCAGCCAGGACCTGAACCTTTGTCTTGGGGTTCCCAGCCTGGATGTCTTTCAAGTGTCACACTCTCCCTCCTCCCAGGGCTGGGCTAGTTACTCCGGTATTCACAGTGTCACACCCCAAACTTGGCCCTTGTCCTCAAGATGCTGGGGCCCAAAGTCCAGCTCAGCCTCTGGGCCAGGCTCGGTGCCTGGTCTCCAGCCAAAGTGCTCTAGAGCTGACACCCAATAGAACTCTCATTTCTTAGTGCCGCACCGTGGCTTGGTGCTCTCTGCTACATTTATGCATCCCTGCTTGTTGAAATCCTATTACCTCTTCAGTGCTCAAACTCAATGCCACCTCCTCCAGGAGCCTTGCATGATCCTGGCAGGCAAAAGCGATCTTCTCATGTTTCCTAGAAATTTACCTGTAACTGTGTGAGCACGTACAACTGCCTCCCATGATAATAACCACCACTGATATTCAGAGAACTATTCCAAATTCTTTACATATTTTATATAATTTAAATTTCATATGAGTTTAATAATTATAGTTAACAAAGATATGGTGATTATTAATGTCATGAACAGATCTAAGTTTTATATATATATGTGTGTATAATTTAGCCTATAAGGTAGGCACTACTATCCCCATTTTGCAGATGAGGAAACTGAGACTTAGAGAGGTTAAGTGACCTGCTCAAGGTCACAGAGCCAGAATAGGGTGTGAAATCAAGATTGTCTGACCCTGGAGTCCACATACCATTTGTGTAGAGGTTCTACTTGTCTTACCAGGTGGTAAGCATTTTGAAGGTGGGAACCGCTGTAGTGTGTCATTCTTGCAATTCCTTTGAAGCCAAGCACAGCAATTTGTACATAGTTCATATTCAATACGTTGAGCTTAATTCAGACCAAAACTAGAAGTTCTGGATGTTGGCTGTATGTTGGTCAGTCTGTGCCCAAGACAGTGATCTTGGAAGTTAATTAGGTTAGAACCAGCTGGGAAGGAAACTTTAACTGCAAAGCCAGAGGGGCCAAGCTGAGGAAGAAAGGTACTTAGAGACCCTCACCCTTCCCAATCCCATGCCAGTCTGTCTCTAACCAACACTGCTACCTGTCTCCCCAGCAGCAGGCACTGGGGAATGCCAAGGTGACACTCTGCATACATGGATTGAAATAAAACTTACCTGACCAGGGGAAAAGGACATCAAGTGATCATCTGCCAAAGACAAAGGAGGAGAGGGGGCTGGAGAGGACCCGGTAGGGGTCGGCTCGAGGTTCCTCCTAGGAGCAGGCTGGGGGCAGGGACTACAGTGTCCCCAGGATCCCAAGGGCTTTCTCCAGGATTACGAGTTCCCTGCTGCTGCCTCTGGCTGATGAACTGGGATGCAGCCAGGCCCTACGCAGGGGGCCCCATCCTGAATGCACAGAAGCTTGGGGGTCTCTGAGCTCAGGAGGCGTGATTCCCCCACCAAGAGGAGCTCAGCCTGCTTGCAGAGCCCTGGCGGCTTTGCCTGCCTCTCTCTCTACCGAGCCTCAGCTGTGAGGGCCTGCTCTGTAGGGAGAAAGGGTGAGGGGGTGGACATGTTCACACACACAGACAATAACTGTCATGGAAACTAACCAACAAAAAGATTTAGGGAGCCGGACTCCTCTGCCAGATGGGAGAGAAAGGGGAAGAGAGAAAGGGGCCGTCCTTAGCCTCACTGCCAGGGCTTTTATGCAGAGAACAAATGTCTACCTCAGCCCTTAGCCAACCATTGCCGGTTTCCCTGTTCTGGAGTGCTGGGACTGTGAGTAAAAGGCAGAGGCGTGGGTGGACCTTTTGGTATTAGAGTCTCAAATAGCCACCCCACACCTTTGTCCTTCTGTGCATAGAGTGGGCATCAGCGTTCAGAGAGGGAGAGCAGCTCCCTCGAAAAGGTCAGCACTGCTAGCAAAGCTAGACACATTCTACCAGTTCACGCCCAACATTTTAGGGCAATTTGGATCACTTTGCTTGAGGAGATGGCTCACAGAAATTTTTTTTTTTTTTTTTTTACTTGGTCTCTTTATTTATTTATTTTTGTTCGTTTGTTTGTTCGTTTGCAGTATGCGGGCCTCTCACCATTGTGGCCTCTCCCGTTGCGGAGCACAGGCTCCGGACGCGCAGGCCCAGCAGCCATGGCTCACGGGCCCAGCCGCTCAGCGGCATGTGGGATCTTCCCGGACCGGGGCACGAACCTGCGTCCCCTGCATCGGCAGGCGGACTCTCAACCACTGCGCCACCAGGGAAGCCCTCACAGAAATTTCTTAGATGAAAAGCGCAGGGTTTCAAGGGGTAACCAAACAAGGCTGCATTTTAAGACCCATCTCCTCTGTCCATGAGGTTAGAGCAGACTGTCCGGAGCTTAAAGAAAGCCAATGGGGGGAATGGCAGAGATGTGGTACGTGTGGCTTCTCCATTCTATGACTCTGAGTTCTGTTTTGGGGGGATTGTCTCTCTGGAGTAAAATAAAATCTAACTAGGGGAACATTTTTTTATTCTCTGAGGTAAGAACGTCAACTGAGCACCAGAAATCCCACTCCAATTATTCAGCTGTGAGACTTTGGACAAGTTTCTTCATCTGTAACATGGGACTAATAGGATTGTGGAGAGGATTAAGTGAGGTAATATGTGTGTAAAGTACATAGAACAGTGCCCAGCCCTTGGTGTTTACCATTCTTATTGCTACTGTTATTAATCTTTCTGGTCCTCTGTTTCTGCAGCTATAAAAGTGAGCCAAGGGGCTTCCCTGGTGGCGCAGTGGTTGAGAGTCCGCCTGTCGATGCAGGGAACACGGGTTCGTGTCCCGGTCCGGGAAGATCCCACATGCCGCAGAGCGGCTGGGCCCGTGAGCCATGGCCGCTGAGCCTGCGCGTCCAGAGCCTGTGCTCCGCAACGGGAGAGGCCGCAGCAGTGAGAGGCCCGCGTACCGCCAAAAAAAAAAAAAAAAGTGAGCCAATAACACCAATCTATCTCATGGGGATTAAATGTGAGGGTTATGAGATTATACTTAATGGTGTGGTGGTTATCAGGGTATACGCATTTGTCAAAACCCATCAAACTGTGGATTTTATTGTATGTAAATGACACTGATTTTTATATGTTTATATAAACAAGTATATCAGTAATAAGTGTCTAGAACATAGGAGATATTCTTATTCCCTGACCTCTCCCCACAAAGATAGGAAAGAGACAGTGAAAGCTAGAAGTAAAAGAGGGGGATTGCACAGGGAGGAGGTGTTCGTACACAGGCCACATTGATTTTGCAGGTAGCGGGTCACCTGTGAAGATTCAGCTATTCTCGATATATCCTGAGGCTTGAACGTCAATCTCTCCGTTACAGTGGCAACACCTGGGTAACCGAGTTTCCTTTATTAACCCAGCTCCTAATTTCATAACCTGATGTAAGAAAGTGAACTGCACTCCAGTTTGCTTTCTACATCTGCTCCAAGGGCCACCCCACCATCACTGCCTCTGCCCTTTGTCTCCCAAACTACCTCCTGAGCTGCACCTGAGCCCCCGAGCAGAGTGGCGTGGTGACTATTGGCTGCAGGCTGTCACACCTAATGAAGCATTGGCCCGGGGAGACAGCTGTCCATTAGGGTAGCCCAAGAATGAACGGTCTGCCGCATTAGAAGCACCTGAGAGGGATTGCTGCAGCCCAATTAAAGAGGAATTGTGTGTGTATATGTATGTGTGAGCACACGGGCACATGTAGAAAGGGACTGGAGGGGGTGGAAAGTAGAATATAATTAAGAATCAAGTAAAACTGGTCCCTGGGGACAGATGATAGACTGCGAGCAAAGAGCCTGCCTGAACGATAGCTGCTCGGGGGATGCTGGAGATGGAAGCCCTGCTGCCAAACGGCCCCAGACCAAAGGGGAGCTTCCTTGTTTGTTTGTCCTATGGAGTGATGCCTATAAATAAATACATCCCATAACCCATAATCTGAGAATAATTTTCAACTCAATCTGTGGCTATCCATTCTGAGCAAATGTTCGGGGATACTGGCTCTTCTTCCTTCTCTGTATTGTTTGGGGATACAAGACTGAGTGAGAGACAAATGCGAAGATGATGATACGGTGAAGATGTTTCAAATGTGAAATCCTTTCAGGATTACTTCCCTCATCTCTCCAAAGCTGCTCACATCTAGGGACAGGGAAGAGAAGGGGATGAGTTGGGATTGTGACAACTAAGATAGCCATTAAGAAGATCATAGCTCTAAACTGCAGTTCTGAATGTGAAATCCTAGTGACGAGAGGGTCTAATGTTCAGCCCGGAACCTTTCCAATGATGAAAATGAGCAACGGCTCTTTTGGCAGTGGTCTGATGTTAGGTGATGAACTAAAGAAAGAGTGTTCCAGTTGAAGTTAACAGGCTGGGATCCAGGTTAAAGAGCAAATGAAGGAAGATAGCCCATGGGACAGCTGGGGTTCTGGGATACAGATAAGTCACAAAGCTGGGTTTATCTGCAGGTGTCAGGATTGATCAGCCCAGGGTCTATTTCCCAGGCTCTTCTCAACGTAGCCACCCTCCTCTTCCCAAAAAAGGAGGCCCAAACTGGAGTATAAAAAGGTGCTGGATCTGAAATCCTGCCTGATTTAAGCTCTGCTCACAAAGGAGGCCAGAGAGGACAGGGAGGGGTGGAAATCAAGTAAGTAAATGTCAGCTCTGCAGCTGGGAAGAAGCCATTAGCCAGGCAGAACCTCCAATAAGAAGCCATTGAATTAGAGCAGTAAAAGAGGGGGCCTGACATCAGAGGGCATGCAGGGAAGGACAGTCTAAGTGGGCAGGAAGGAGCGCCAGGCGGCTGTATACAGAGGATTACTTAAGATTTGCAAATGGCAAGAGCAGATGCCTTCCCAATGACAGGCCCCCAATCCAGACACCCTTCACAAAATACCCACACGATTCCTTTGTCCTTCCCCAAATCCTGTCTCAGGGAGCCCAGCCATCTCATGGGCTATTTTGAAAAATATTTCTCCCTTCTGCCTGAACCCAGAGACAAAATGGGCAGCTCTCAGCCACTCTGGGATTAGTCAGAACAGACAAAGAAGGGGAGCAAATCCCTTGGCAAACAGTGCCCCGGGGATTTCATTTTTCCTCTTTTCAGTGCAAACCTACTCAGACAGATGCTGGAATACATCTGTCTGCCTGTGTACGCAAGAAAAGAGAACTTTGTTCACATGGAGACGTTTTCCTTTAACGCTGTAATTATTTTATTTTGTAACCAGCGGTTTGCCAATTCTGTCTTTTTGTTTTTTTTCTTTTTCATGAACTCTCATTTCCTTGTCCAGAGAAGAAAAAGATTAACATTCCTCCCCTTTATCCTAAATTGGAAGATTTCAGTAAAGTCTCTTAAAAGCCCCATGTGCCAGTGATACCCAGATTCCAGGATTTAAAAGGGGAAATCTACTCTGAAAATGAAAATAGAAAGTAGCTCTGATTTAGGACAATCGAGTCTCGTTTTTTTCATTTAACAAATAACTATGGGGCACCTTTGAGTGTAAAGCATGAGGTGGCATACCAGGTCTGGTTTGTGGGCTCAGGCAGCTTCCAGGCTCCAGGGGGAATAAGGCACAGGACATACATGTCCAGAGTAGAAGGAGGCATGTAAGGAACACATGATCAGTGTGCTCTTTGCACTTTGGGAGTGGAGAGGAAGAAGAAAGCATAGTTCTCTAAGGCTGCCAGAGAAGACTTCTGGAGCGAGGAGGTGTTGGAGCCAGTCCTGCAAATGGGTGGCAGATTTTGGCAAAGTAGAGAGGAGCGCATTCAAGCAGAGACACAGTAGATGCACGTTTGCAGACTGGGGTGTGGTTGAAAAACCACACATCGGGGGTGGACAGATAAGATACAGAAAGCCCAGTTAAATTGGAATATTTAGGATTACTTATTCTAGAAAATTTTGGTCATTTATCTGAAATTCTGATTTAACTGGGTATCCTGTATTTTTATTTGCTAAATCTGGTAATCTTATGACAGAAGCAAATGACCACTCTCATATGTTAAGTCCCTGCAATATTCCAGATGCTTAAATGTATTATTTGTAACCCACTGCAACTACCTCCGTAAAGTGAGTGTCAGCACTCCCACTTCAAAGGTGAGAAAACTAAGGCTTCTAGGGTTTAAGCAACTTGTGGCTCTAGTCAAGCAGTTAACACGTGGCAGTGACAGGATTTCACTCTAGGTCTGACTAGCTCCAAAGATGCCTTGGAGTACTGAAAGGTCAGGTGAAGGGAAGACTGGTAGAGCCAGAGACAGACCTTGCTTGAATGCCAGGCTAAGGAGCTAGGCTTCTCAGAAGGCAATGGAGAGTCCTTGAAGGTTTCTGAGCCAGGGGTGAAATGATCAGAGCAGTGTTTAGAATATTAACTTGGCAGCAGACTGTAAAACTGGTTTGGTCCAGCTGAAGTGTTTAGAGATGAGGAACCCATGCAGCCTTCCTTTCCACAGGGATGTGTGGAGCCCATAACAGGTGCCAGGCAGTATGCTAGGCACTGAGGGCACGACGGTGAAAAGGAAAGACACAGTCCCTGTCTTATAGCCTAATAAATTAACATGCAATTGATTTCAATAAAGGGTAATAGGTTTTATAGGAGAGGAACTT